TTCGGGAGGGCACCTTGGAAGAAGTGCCGACGAGGTCGCCGTTGAGTGCGGACCACCGTCCTTGCAACTTTGTGAAAGGCAAGCCCCGAGCATATTAAGCCTCCTAATTTCAAAATGCGATTCTGATGATTATTATTACATATATCTTGTTGCATTAAGTTTAGGTGTTGGATGCAAACACTTGCTACATTGGTTACCCATTCCTTGTCCGGATATTGTTACCACAGAATCCTATGTAGCTCGGGCTCGGTAGTGCTTAGCCCTACTTAAACGCTGGTAGAAGTTGGGTGATTTCACACCTGCGAGATATAGGAAGATACATGTGGCACGGTTGGCTATATTTGCTATCGTGGAAAAGAACCAATCTTAATTTGAAATGAAGACCGGACGGAGGCTTGCCGGTTTGCGTGTGACTCCGTCTGTAATTAAGGAGACGATTCTTGGATCCTTTCCTGTTCATGTTGAGCGCATGCCTCTCTCTTAGTTGGCCGGGTGCGGAGACCGACCACGGCCGAGTAGCTCACCTCGGGCCGAGAGTCGATAAGTATAAAGTGCGCCTCGGAAGGGAGCCGTGGGCGTGAGTCCAAGGGCGGGTGATTTAAAAGTCCCGATCGTCTGGCGGAAGGGTAATCCACGAGAGTCTTGGGCGTTGATCGAACCAGCAATTTGGTTCTGAGTTGTTCCAAAGGTGACCCACGGCTACCCTTGCTAAGTATGCCGGGGTGAGAGTTAGAAATACCCCTCGGTGAGTTGTAATTCGATTCAATCGTCGTCTCTCCCCGTTAGTGAGAACTTGACGGGCTTATCTCCAATGTAGATACACTTAATAACTTAATGGTTCGGAAATGATGATATGATGATGACAGCCTTATTATACCCTGCTATGGTTAATATTGTTTGCTCCTAATAAGTGAGTGTTCTAGTACAGGTGCTAATCTAGTGGACGGGTAAATAATGATAAGCTTGATGCTAAGTTTAAAGTGGTTACTCTATTCATAAGCTCTTTTATGCAATCGTGTCAAGCTAGCCCACCGAAAAAAGCTTGCATGATCCTTGGTGTCGTTTATTTTCATTTCTTGTCGGGTAAGTCTAGTGAGTACCTTCTCGTACTCGGGGTTTATCTCCACATGCTGCGAGATGACCGGTTCTTCTTTGGTTGTCGCAAATCACCGCTTCTCCTCCCTTTGGGGATGAAGACTAGACCGTTGGCGCGGTCTCTACTAGTTCTCGTACCTGATAATGCTTTTGTGGGACATGACTCAACCTTGGCAATGTAATTGAAAACTATGATGTTTTGTACCAAACTATGTTGCTTCCGCACACTCAAACTTGGTTTGTAATATTCTATTTAAACTCTGATGGATGTAATCCGAATGCTACTTATGAAATGTTGTAACGGATGATGTGTTGTGTTGAATCACTACGATCTTGGTTTGTATGTCGAGAGTTGGTTGAAATCCTTCGTGATTTCCGGACTACCGGGATTATGGGAGCTTAAGTACAGGAATTTGATCGCTTCGGTGATTGTTTTTGTACTTACGTTCTTATGATTTGGTCGGTTCTGTTACAGAGACTTAGGCGGCACGGCACACGAGGCATGGCGGGGTCGGACACGGGCGGCGTCGGCACGGTGATGTCTAAGCCGGTCACAAGATGGAGGAGGAAGGAGACGCCTGATGGGTGGGCTCGGCGCGTCAGTGGGATGGAGACGTGGCGCGGCGTGCGGAGCTGGGCCGGCTGCCTTGCTAGGTCACAGTGAGAAGGGAGACGCGGGGCGCAGGCCCAAGCGGGTGGAGAGGGGAGAAGGCCGGCCGGTTGGACCAGTTGCCCATGAAAGAGAAAGGGGAGGGAGCTGGGCCACAAATGAGAGGAGAAAGAGAGGAGTAAATTTCTTTTTCCTTTTTCTTAAGCATATTTCCAAAGCAAATTCAAAATGCAAATTCAAATCAATTTAGAATCCGACTTCAAACCAAGCAATACAAAATAATATGCAGTGGCATGAATGCACATACATGATTGTGACCTTATATTTGATTTTATTTTTAATAAAATTATTATTTTCCTATATTCAAATGCCCACAAAAATGCATAATAAATCAGTTTCTCCTATTTAAAAATTATTGTAAATTTTAGGGTGTCACATTCGGGCCAAAAGAGAGGGAAGGGAGTTTTCTGTTTTTGTTTTCTTTTTCTTTTATTTCAAAGCCTTTTCAAATCATTTCAATGGCAATTTGAATCATTTTGAGATTTGGATCAAAACCACTCATCACAATAAATCAATGCAACGGCATGTATGCTCAACAATGTTTCTACCCCCTATGATAAATTTCAATTTAATGAAAATTTATTATTTCCCTATGTTTTTATGAGCACAAAATACAAAATTAAATCATTTTAGCTCTATTTCCAAAGAAGCAAATTTTAGGGTGTTACAGAAAGCATCTCCAACGGAAGCACCCACCAGCATGGCTGCCTCCTGCCACTCATGCCAAAGCAGTTCTATGACTATCAGTTTTTTGTCATAGATCTATCTAATTCTATGACGAATTTCTAGAATTATCATAGAATTGCAAGAATGACGCAACTTCTATGACGAATAGTTTTTCGTCATAAATTTGTCATAAAACTGAAATTACGACGAATTTGGCTCCTTCAGTGATGAAAGCTGATCGTCGTAGAAGTGGATATTCCTAGTAATGGTGCAAATAGAATTAAAAATAGATGCTTGACAAGAAAGTTATTACATTTTAAAGTTTGTATGCCATTTACAAAAGCAAAAGAAACAAATCTGACACACAGCACGTGGTCCGCTCCTCTCCCCGCGTCCACCATCCATGCTCGGTCCTCACTCTCCATGCTCCACATATTCGTACGCTGCTATACTATGGATCCTCCATGCACAACGTGTCCGTGCGCTGCTATATGGCCGATGGCACGCGCGCCGACTAGTGATTGAGGGAAATCGATCCAACCATGATGAAATATATGTGCGCACGTATCAATCGGCCCAATCTAGAGGTGGAAGGACATGGTGAAGAATAAAGGAGTAAGGAAAGGGTTTCCAATACAAATGTACACGAGAAAAAGAAAGTATAAAAGTGGTTGAAGTGATTTAAAAATAGTCCAAGATTCTTATACAAAATTGCCTTATACCTTTTAGGAGCAAGATTTTAGAAAAGGTTGGAGAACCCAACAAATATGCTCCCAGATTTTTTAGCCACTTGAAAAACTCATTGATTTACCTATCACTTTTTTGGAAACTCTTAGAGATGCTCTAAGATACAATGTATGGAAGGCAGAGTAGAAGGATTTAAATTTATTTCTATTTCAAATTTATGTTATAGAAAATGTCATACTGTAAAGGAATATTCTAGTGCATTTTCTTGCAGGCGTCTTCATGCTCAAAGGATCACTAGTAACCTAGAAAGACAATAATCCCTTCCCAACCTTTAAAATGTTGATTTATCAGGCAGGGACCCGACATCCGGTTTGGACCGGGGTCCATAGGTAAGAGAGATTTGACCAAAGGTCCGATTTAGAGGTAATATCCAATTACAGACATCTAGTACCTACCAGACATTCGACTTTGGGTTCATGCTATGCATGCTTTGTCTCTCAAATGGGAGCCGGTGGAGATTGCTCTAAGAGCATCTCCAAGAGTTTCCAAAACCTACTCCCAATCTAAATTCTTTGGCAAGATTAAAAAAACTGCTCTCCAACAACTCCTTATCTCAATTTCCAATCTTTCCGCACTTGGAAAAATCGATCGAATCGTGCGGAAATATACGCGTATATTGACATGCCAATCTGAAGGTGGAAGGATTTGGGAAGAATAAAGAGTAAGACATGGTTCTTTTTTCTTGAACAATGCATGAGAGTTGCATATCATTTCATTAAGAACAAATAAAAGTTTGGAGAGACAAGAGTCTACTCCTACAACAAAGGAGCGAAACTCTACACTAAAACACCACTCCTATTTTTGTGCTTAGCTGAAGAAACATTTGCTTTAGAGCCGAGGCTCCTGCCATGCACCAAAGAACACCTTGATTAGCTACAGCTTGAAGCACCAAGTGGATATCTGGAAGAGCTCCTTCAAATACACACGCATTGTGATGCTTCCATAATTCCGGAGCAAGAATTCTAATGCAAATGTATAAGAGAGAAATAAAAAATAAAAATGGTTGGGGTGATTTAGAAATAGTTCAGAATTCCTGATGCAAAACTGCCTTTTACATTTTAGAAGGACGGTTTTGAAAATTATTGGCGAACAAACAAATATACTATCAATTTTTTTAACCACTCGAAAAACTCATTAATTTATCAATTAATGTTTTGGAATCATAACAACTAACCAGCGGGAACTGAATAACGCACCCCGGGCCTCCACCATGTTTTAATCCTTTTCGCCCCAGCTCAGGCACACTGGCCATGCCAATCTACTGTGAGAAAATTCCATATTTAGCATCACAAAATGACATGCTTCCTTATATAGCATCTGAAGATTAAATTTTCCTAATATAGCACTAGGTTTGTTTTTGGTCCCCTATCTAGCACTACCGTCAGATCTATTAGGGTATACCATTTTGTGCTTGTCGGATAATTGAAGGATATACCAAAATACCCTTACGAACAGGTCACGGTCTTGAGCCGTCGGTCCTTTCTCTTCTCCCGAACCCTATCGTGACTCCCACCGCACCAAAGCGGTGGCCGGCGGCGGTGGCTTGCCTCTCGACGAGGAGCCCTTTCCCGTGGATCCGGGCGGGGGTGACCCGAGTGGCGCCGGTTGCGGTGACGGCGCATGCGGTAGGGCCAGCCCGAGCAGCGGTGGCCCAAGCAGGAGCGCCTGCGGGGGCAGCCCGAGCAGCCTACCGCATCCCCGCATTGCCCCGGGAGGTGGCACGTGCGCAGCCCCGCACAGCCCTAGCGGAGGCGCGTGCACAACCTTGCACGGCCCAAGCACACGAGCAGAGGTGCCACCCGGTGGAGCTCGAAGGTCTGGCATGGCCACATTGTTGGACATGTGAGTTCCCATCCTCTCCTCATTGTGTTCTTACTGTTGATGCCCTTTCAACTGTTGGTACAATTACTCATAGTTTAAGATGTTTTTATTTAGTTCACAGGTTTCATCCATCTCTTGATCCAAATTCAACTTATATCCTACAAATGAAACACCTTGGTAACCCTAAGAAAGCTAGGAAAGATGTCAGATGCTTTTGTTTTGAGAAAGTTGTTGATTCTGATCTCACTAATTTTCAAGATTTAGTTGAATCAATCATAGATCAGTACCCTCCTGGCTATATGGAAATTGCACATCTTCAGTACCATGACCATGATTCAAAAACCTTCCCAGAAGTTAAAACTGACCAAGATTTGATGTTAATGTTTAAAAAACACAAGAAAACAAAGGTTGTGGACATGTTCATAGCATATTCTCATCCATCTGAACCATATGAGCCTCTCACTCACTGGCATTACGAGGACCAAGGGTAGCCCATGCAGAATCCTTCTGCTGAACCAGAGGACACATATTTAGATAATCCATCGCCCAAGAATGAACATGTAGGGGTCGATGAGGAGGCTATGTACTTGGCAAGCAATGAACCTATACATGCTCTAAATGTGGTCCTTTATTCTGGGCGCAAAAGAATGGAAAAGAATTTTGGTCCTGATGAGGAGGGTACGGAGGATGAGGAGGATCTTGACTCACAGTCCGAATCTGAAACTGAGGTTGCTGATGAGCTGGTGGACACAGACTATGAGGAAGATCATGTCCCAGATATAGAACATGACAAAGAAGACCCTCCAATGACAGAAAGCACCACATATTCCTGTATGGAAGCTTTTAAGTTGGCTCTATCTCAGCATGCAATCAAACATGAGTTCGAATATAGAACTGCATATAGCAATCGTTCTAGGTTTGGGGCCTATTGTTCTAGGAAATTAGAAGATAACTGTCCATGGAGGATACATGCTTCTACCACCCAGGGCAAGGAAACTATGATGGTAATTGTGTTTACACCAAAATTTGGGGAGAAAAACGTGGGAACTCGAAACTTCCAAAATTGTGCCAATCAAGGAATCGATTGCACAAGGATCGATATCAGCTGATTCAGATACGACTCTGGAATCGGATCTCTTTGGATGACGTCAGCAGATAGCGATCATGAGCTACGGTTAGTGCCAGGAAACTACATATCGGACTCTATAAAAAGGGAAAGATTAGGGTCCAAGTTATCTTAAATTAGGAATATTTTCTTCTATGCCGAAGATTATGAGTCATGCTCAAGTAGGGTTCATGTTTAGGCTCTGGGTATAAATATTGGACCCCGGCTATTGTAAAGAACACACAATCAATCCAATATAAGTTACTTATTTTTTTTGGCTCCGGCCACCCCTTAGGAGTAGGAGTAGAGTAGATCTTGGCGAGTTCTTCAGCGAGCAGGGTTGCATCGGTCCGGCCGACCTCCGGCTTGTCTATAAGTACCGTTATGGCTTATACTTCTGTTCGTACGGCTGCATCGATCTGGTCGACCTCCACTGCGACTCTGGTATAAGCTAGTTATCGACTCTTGTTTAGTTCAAGTACGGCTGCATCGATCCAGTCGACCTCCACAACTCGAACTAGATTAAGGTCAAGTTATCGGCTCTATCTAAGGGTGGCGTTCCTTCGGATAGATTCATTAAGTTATCGATATTGCTTATTGCTTCCATTATTTATTTGATTACAGCAATATCACTTCGTCCGATTAGGATTGATCTAGATCGGCCTTATATCCTATTTAATCCATCGTTTGTTAATCTAAACTGATCTAATCTATATCTTAAATGATGAGTTATGTTTTATCGGTTGTTTTATGTCAATCTTGAATGTGCATAGTGTGCAATTAAGGCATGTCTGGTCTTGAGTAGATCTATTGGCTAGCGAAAACCATTCCATGGCCCGTTATCATGGCATGTGTGATTTTGCCTCACACCCCACTATTAGCACCGTGGAGTGAGGATCGTTATTTGGTAGATTTGTTCCTGATAGGGCATGACCTTAACTGTGTGCTATGCCTGAATCGGCTGTTTTAGCTGATATCGAGTGCTTTCATGAACAGCTCATGTCACGAGACCATTGAAGTAGAAATAGGTTGAAAGATGCGTTAGCCCCATGATCTTATTATTGTATTATGGTCTGCATGATTCTGCCTCATGCCCCACTGATATTAGTAATAAGTTAGGGTCGTCGAATCTATTATTGTTTCTACGACCTGCATGATTCTGCCTCATGCCCCACTGGTCATAGCGATAGATGAGATCTAATATATTTATTAGATTTATCTTTATTAAATGGTTAAATGATGATGAGCTGTTTCTTTTATATAAAAGGGATTTGGTTACTTGCAGTCATTGACTTAGCATAAACTAATTATTGTTAACATCATATTGCTATTGACTAATATTTATCTAAATAATGATATTCATCCTGAATGATAACCTATTTTTCTTACACAACCCCATAAGCTTTAACTGATTTATTCTTATGAGTATGCTGGAATCGACTCTTTAGTCGATCTCCTTTCATATCGGCTCTCAGAGCCGCACATTCGGGACCGTCTGGCAACACCGGCACGTTCCACCTTAAATTACTGATTAGCTTTCTCTCCTTGTCAATTGCAGGGTCAAATTGACTAGCACGTCTCGGGAGGAGTATGCAGGATTGACCACCCCTGCGTTGAAACCAGGCGGATCTATAACTCCATCGAGCATACCCTTCCGGCTTGCTCTTGTGCCCTCGGCACGGGACAAAATTTCGTGCCGACAAATTGTACTATACCTACTTTGTGTATTGATTTTCCACTGCTGTTCTTAAAAACAATGTTGTGTGCTTACCTTTGTTTATCTATTCAGGTAAAAAAGAACCCTTTTGACCATGATTGCTCAAGCACAAGAAGGGATATGAAGGTGGCCAATGGTACCAAACATTGGGTATGTGCAAAGGTGAAGGATTTCCTCATTCAAGACCCCACACTGGGAGCAAAAGAATTGCAAAAGAAGATTAAAGAATACCACAAAGTACATATACACTACAAGAGAGTATATAAGGGTAAGGATCTAGCACTTAACCAACTCTATGGTGATTGGGACAACAGCTTTGACAAACTATATAGCTTTAAGGCACAAATTGAGAAATCTTATCCTGGTAGTGTGGTAGTCATTGATCATTACACAATAAAAGACAAAATTAGATTTAGAATATTTTTCTTTGCCTTAAAGCCTTGCATAGATGGGTTTCTTACTGGTTGCAGACCCTATTTGGCGATAGATAGCACCTTTCGGACAGGCAAATTTAAGGGGCAGTTGGCTAGTGCTACAACTGTTGATGGTCATAACTGGCTGTATCTAGTTTTTTTGGGGTTTTTTATTCTAAGACTAATGAGAATTGGATATGGTTCATGCAAATGCTTAAAGAAGCAATTGGTTCACCTAGAGGATTAGCCATAAGCACTGATGATGGGCAACCGGTGATGACTGGGGTAGGAGAGGTGTTTCCAAAAGCAGAACATAGATAGTGCATGTTTCACTTAGTGACCAATTTCAAGAAAAAATTTCATGGTAAGGTGTTTGATGACCACCTTTGGGCAGCAGCTTATTCATGGAACCAATATATATTTGAGAAGCATTGGTTTGCTATGGAGAAAGCAAAACCAGCAGCACCTGCATATCTTAGGAATTGGCATAAGAAGTTGTGGACTAGGAGTCAATTTTCAACTAATTCCAAGGTGGATTATGTAACTAAGAACGTGGTAGAGTCTTTTAATAATTGGATTATGCAATATAAGTCCATGAACTTAGATGACTTTATGGATAAGATTAGACAATTGATTATGATCAAGTGGAACCAAAGGAGTAAAGTGCCAAAGAAGTTAGAAGGTTTGATTCTACCCCACATAATCAAAAGGTTGAATGAAAGGAGTAGAGAACTAGAGCTAGAAGTGCTTGAATGCTCAGAACATGTTGGTGAAGTTACTGCATTAGGAGGTACTAGTTTTAGATTTGTTGTGAATTTACAGGATAGGACATGCTCTTGCAGATAATGGCAAGATTCTAGTATTCCATGTAAACATGCTATAGCATTCATCACATCACTACGTAGTGCCTCTCTTGAGAATTATGTGGACTTGTATTACTCCATTGAGAAATTTAGAGCAGCTTATTGTCAACTAATCCCTGCCATGCCTGACAAGTCTTAGTGGCCTAAAGGGACCCATGGTTTTTTCCTACATCCGCCACTGTTGAAACCTACATCTGGTAGGAGAAAGAATGTGAGGTTCAAAGGTTGTACCGAGAAGAAAATGGAAAAGGCCCAACACAAGTGCCCTATTTGTAAGGATTACGGGCATCACTGGCATAATTGCAAAAACAGCAGCAAAGAGGACATGGAAGCTATGAGAGAATTGAGGTAACAAATTGTCTAATATATTCACATTTTGTTGCATGATCATTATAAGAAGATGTAAAATGCTGACTTTAACTTTGCTCCTAATAGGGGACCACCCAAAAAGAAGAAAAGACGCACGAAAGCAGCTATAGAAGCCGGCCTTTTGGCTTTAGAGGATGACACACCAGCAGCCTGCATGACTTTCCCACCATGGTTAGCACTTTTTATGCTTGTACATGCCTAAGTTTTTTTTTCTCAGTACCTTTCTTCATTGCCACAGTCAAATTTTGGAGCCTGCAACTAGTAAAAAGGAAAAACGCAGCAGCTCATGTTCTAGAGGCTCAACAAGGTAATTATATGCTCCTCCTTGTACTTTATAGTAGATGGTTTGATTCACCAAAATCTTACTTGTATACTTTTGAAAACAGCCCCGGTGTCGAACATACAACTAAGAAGAAGGGAAAACGCAGCACCTCATCTTCCGGAGCTTCAGCAAGGTATTTCTGTTGTCCTTGTATTTTTTTAGTCAATGCATTCATTTCTTCACAGCTAAAGTTTTCCACTTTTGAAAATAGCCAAAGTGTTGAACCTACAACTACGAAGAAAGGAAAACGTAGCACCTCATCTTCTGCAGGCTCAACAAGGTAAACTATGATTTGTATTCTGTTTTACGAGCATTTTAGTACAGACCACCTTGTACCACAATTTTTTTGTCAAACTTAACTCATTAGAGAGGATGACCACTTGTACATGCACAATTGTAGGTCAAAAAAAAGGGTCCAATGAACGTGAGCCCATGAGCATAGAGGGTAACCACACTAACTCAGTTGCAGGACATGCATCCAAGACAACTAAGGCAAAACCAAAGGTTAAGTCCAAACCAAAGGCAAAGAGGAAAATGAAGAACGACATACAAAAAATTCCCATGAAATCACTTGACAGCCCTGTAATGGGCACAAGAAGCAAAAGCAAAATGGTTGTCCCTCCTAGCCCGGCAATGAGCACTAGGAGCATAATAATGGGGACAAGGGTCCCGATCTTCCGTCAGGTTCAAGATAAACAATGA